AAAACCTGGGCCGGCGCTAGGATTTGGTGGCCCAAAATGAGATTTTATATGTCGCCCCAAAGCACTTACAGCGCAGCCATCTAATGACGTGGTGTCATGCAGTACAGTGGAGGCTCAAGGAGTGACTGGTTTAGTTTATCACTTCGCTGTGAGTGTTGAGGACTAGGATTGTATCTTTAAATGTTTTTCTGAGAGATTGTAGATTAACAGGTTGTATGGCCATGTCACGTTGGATGTTTGGTATCTGGGCTTGAAGTTCCCCAATTTTTTTCTCGACCGTGTTGAAGCTAATGGCATTAACCTCCTGGGACCTGGCGTCCACATGTGTGGACATGACGTTGTGGGTTGTCAAGACTACAATGTTAAATTTTGGACTACAAGGGCCTGGCGTCCACTTACGAGGGTGTTACATCATGTAAAAAGATAATTCTTTGTTTTTACACTCATCAGGTCCCAATTAGCCTAAATATCAAAGAGAAAATAAAAATAAACTAAAAATGCATGCCTTGCAAGAGTTCAGGTCTTAGGAGGTTAAGGGTCGAGGTTTCTATGCTGAATAGGCTTCCAAATGACGCGGCAGCTACGAGCAGGCCACCCACAAATTGCTCTTGGCGTTTGGGGACCTCATTAAGGTCAGATTGGGTGACTACAAACTTCCCGAGCTGTTGAAGCATGTGGGTCGTGTGTAGGGAGGCCTGGATGTTGGCATTCCGGGACCATGTTGCCCCAGTAAATCTGGTTAGGGTGCCCGGGACGATGTGCTTTCATGTACACTGCTCATGCTTCACATCGGACAAACACTCGTTGTGTCATGTTTTGTTTTGTGACCAACAGGTGGCATTGTAAGGCTCTCCCTGCAGCTGCACACCTGTTGGTCGTTATGTCGTTAGCTGTATAAAAGGACTCCCACCCGACCACTCATGGTCGGGTCATTGTTTGCTTCTGTCATGTTAGTTGCTGTCACGGTTTCTGTTGGTTTGTGTTTATCACTTTGTTTTTTGCTTATGCCATGGTTTTGTTTGCTACTTTGGATTCGTTCTGTTTTCCAGACTTGGTGCGTTCTGGATTTCGTTTCCTTAGTATTTTAATACAATTTGTCAAGTTCACCCTGCTCCTCCCTCCTGCCTGCTTTTTGTGGTCCACCACCACCTCGCAACGTGACACGTTGGGTGTCCGGCAGTTGGTCATGAACAATCCTGGTTGGTCTCTCAACTCAATTCCCTCGATGGGTCCAAGCTAAACTATTTCAGGTTGGCCCACGAAAGTGGTTATGCACAACTTCAGGATCATCAGTAGCACAATTCCCGAGTAATGAGAGTAAGTTTGTTAATACTATGTCATTAGTCAACTAAGATTAGAACAAGTTAGGCATTGGCCAGTGGGCATAATAACCACCTCCTTACACCATCCGGTTATTCTCAGCCATTGATTGGTCTTTGCTTGGTCGTCTTTCGGGTCGGTATAATGCATGTCAGTCGCTGGGTTTGGGGTTGTCTTTGGGTCAGCATCTGAGGTGCAACCCCCTTTTTCAATATGACTTAGACCACATATGTCAAAGTGCCGGCCCGCGGGCCAAATCCGGCCCGCGAGAATGTTTTCAGTGGCCCCTGGGATGATATTGATTTATTATTAGAACCGGCCCGCGGACCGCAGCAAGCCGAGAGCCCGCAGATCTTTCACACGCACCAATACTACATTTCCCAAAATGCAACGGTGACGCGCCAAGCTGTCGGCCGCTTTATTTAAATATTTTTTAGTCTAGCAGTCGTTCCCAGAACAGTGACATTAGCTTTCAGATACCCATCAAAAATGGCAAAACGGAAGGTGGACACTGAGAACCGGGGGTTTCAAACAAGGTGGGAGTCGAAGTACATGTTCATGGACGTAGCTGGAAAACCTGTGTGTCTTCTGTGCGGAGAAAGTGTGGCGCGATTGAAATAGTGTAATCTGAGACGACATCATGAAACGAAACACGCGAACAAAAACAAGAACATGGACATAGAGGGGGAAGGGGGATTTTATTAAAAACGGAATACTTAAAGTTGTGACGACGTTTACCCCAAAAAAAAAGCAACTCTTTTTAAACGTGAGCATTAGCAGAAACACAATTGCAGTGTTTCTGCAAAGATACGGCAGTGCGCGCTGCGCAGTTTGCCCGTTTCCTCCCCGACACAGTGGCCCCGCTGCGCATCCAGGCTGCTCAAACGTTGTCGAAAGTTTGGCAGCACATACGTGTGTGAACAACTATTTTCTTTGATGAAGCTGAACAAAACATCACACAGAAGTCGATTTACTGCTGAACACCCTCACTCAATTTTGAGGATTTGCCCAGCTCAGAGCCTGCCCCCAAATATTGATGAACTTGTAGAAAAATTAAGACACCACCGAGTATCAGCCTCAGCCTCAAAGAAGTGAATATTACTTATAATATACTGTACAATCACATATTCAGTTTTTACTCAGTTCAACTTTAAAAATTAAAGTATATTTGCTTTCGCTGCTTGTTACTTCT